GAAGGGAGAAGGAACGTTCCTCATTATTATCATGGGAAGAAAGGGACGTTCCTCATTATTATCATGGAAGAAGGGGATCAGAAGGGGAGAAGGGACATTCCTCATTATTATCATGGAAGAAGGGGAGAAGGGACGTTCCTCGTTATTATGGAGGAAGGGGCGTACTAGGACCTGATCGTGGGTGACACACAAGGTACATATGGTGGGTGATGTAGGATAAGGACCAGAATGTGGGTAACATAGTACAAGGACCAGATGGTAGAGGACGTAGGACAAGAACCGGATGGTGGGTGACGTAGGACAAGGACCAGGTGGTGGGTGACGTAGGATGGTGGGTGACGTAGGACAAGGTCTGGATGGTAGAGGACGTAGGACAAGAACCGGATGGTGGGTGACGTAGGACAAGGACCAGGTGGTGGGTGGCGTAGGACAAGGTCCAGATGGTAGGGGACGTAGGACATGGACCGGGTGGTGGGCGACGTAGGATGGTGGGTGACGTAGGACAAGGTCCGATCGTGGGTGATGTAGGACAAGGACTAGATGGTGGGTGATGTAGGACAAGGTCCGGATGGTGGATGACGTAGGACAAGGTCCGGATGGTGGATGACGTAGAACAAGGGCCGGATGGTGGGTGATGTAGGACAAGTACCGGATGGTGGGTGACGTAGGACAAGGACCGGATGGTGGGTGACGTAGGACAAGGACCGGATGGTGGGTGACGTAGGACAAGGACCAGGTGGTGGGTGACGTAGGACAATGTCCGGATGGTAGGGGACGTTGGATACGGACAGGGTGGTGGGTGACGTAGGACAAGGTCCGGATGGTGGGTGACGTAGAACAAGGGCCAGATGGTGGGTGACGTAGGACAAGGTCCGGATGGTGGGTGACGTAGAACAAGGGCCGGATGGTGGGTGACGTAGGACAAGGGCCGGATGGTGGGTGACGTAGGACAAGGGCCGGATGGTGGGTGACGTAGGACAAGGGCCGGATGGTGGGTGACGTAGGACAAGGGCCGGATGGTGGGTGACGTAGGACAAGGACCGGATGGTGGGTGATGTAGGACAAGAACCGGATGGTGGGTGACGTAGGACAAGGACCAGGTGGCTTGACGTAGGACAAGGTCCGGATGGTAGATGACGTAGGATACGGACTGGGTGGTGGGTGACGTAGGATGGTGGGGGGGGACGTAGGACAAGGTCCGCATCGTGGGTGATGTAGGACAAGGACTAGATGGTGGATGACGTAGGACAAGGACTGGATGGTGGGGGACGTAGGACAAGGACCGGATGGTGGGTGACAGAGAAGGACAGTTGAACAGCAGCCCATTAGCCTTTCCCCCAATATCACGGTACCACCCACCAGTCACTCGTCCCGAGTCAGTGGTGCCGGGTACCCCGGGGGCGACATCGGTGGCGATTATTTTCTCCATCACTCGTTCATACGGCCAGAAGGAGATGTGGAGCCGGGAGGCACCTCCGGACGTTCGGCGGTGTTTGTCGATTCTGCTCAGCTTCTCCTTCACTTTGCGCTTTATATCTGCAAACCTCTTCTTGCAGTTCTGCACGGAGCGCGGACAAGCGGAGACAGCATTGACGGCGGACGTGATCTCCCTCCACAGGGTGTTCTTGGCTACCGTGGAATGTCGGGGCCGCCAACCTGCCGAACAGCTTCTCATAGTGTGGCATCACGCTCCTTATCAGGACATCGTTCTCCTCGTCCGAAAATCGGATGTTCCGCTGACGCTCCCGCTCCGCCCCTTGCTGTGATTGGCTGGAGTCATCAGGAAGAAGATCTGGGGAAAATGGAAAGGCAGAAAAAGTGGAATTTTGTATTTCCCATGAAATTTCTTGAGATTCAACGAGACAGAAATTCAGAGACTGTTGGGTTATATACGCCGCCGGAAGGTTATGATCAGCCCAGTATAACTCCGCCTACTATCAGAATTCCCAGCCTGACTCCCCCCGACTCGCAGCATAACTCCCCCTCGACTCCGGGCATGGCTCCCCCTGACTCCCGGCATAACTCCCCCCCGACCCCCAGCATAACTCCCCCCCGACTCGCAGCATAACTCCCCCCCGACTTGCAGCATAACTCCCCCCCCGACTCCCGGCATGACTCCCCCCAAATCCACGGCATAACTCCCCACCCCCCGAATCCCAGCATAACTCCCCCCCCCCCCGACTCCCTGGCATAACTCTTCCGCCCCCCCCCCCCCCCCCCCCCCGACTCCCAGCATAACTCCCCCCCCCCCCCCCCCAACTCCCAGCATAACTCCACCCCCCCCGACTCCCCGGCATAACTCTTCCCCCCCCGACTCCCAGCACGACTCCACCTGACTCCCAGCATAACTCCCCCCCCCCCCCCAACTCCCAGCATGACGCCCCTGACTTGCAGCATAACTCCCCCCCCCCCGTCTCCCAGACTGACTGCCCCCGACTCGCAATCTAACTCCCCCCAACTCCACGGCATAACTCCCCACCCCACCCCCCCGAATCCCAGCATGACTCCCCCCGACTCCCGGCATAACTCCCCCCCAACTCTCGGCATCCCCCCCCCCGACTCCCAGCACGACCCCCTGACTCCCACCATAACTCCCCCCCCAACTCCCCAGCATAACTCCCCTCCTCCCGACTCCCAGCATAACTCCCCCCCCCCCCCCCCCGACTCCCCGGCATAACTCTTCCCCCCCCCGACTCCCAGCACGACTCCACCTGACTCCCAGCATAACTCCCCCCCTCCCGACTCCCAGCATGACTCCCCCCCGACTCCCGGCATAACTCCCCCCCCAACTCCCAGCATGACGCCCCTGACTCGCAGCATAACACCCCCCCGTCTCCCAGACTGACTGCCCCCGACTCGCAATCTAACTCCCCCCCAACTCCACGGCATAACTCCCCACCCCCCGAATCCCAGCATAACTCCCCCCCCCCCCCCCGACTCCCTGGCATAATTCTTCCCCCCCCCCCCCCCCGACTCCCAGCATAACTCCCCCCCCCCCCCCCCGACTCCCTGGCATAATTCTTCCGCCCCCCCCCCCCCCCCCCGACTCCCAGCATAACTCCCCCCCCCCCCCCCCGACTCCCAGCATAACTCCACCCCCCCGACTCCCCGGCATAACTCTTCCCCCCCCCCCGACTCCCAGCACGACTCCACCTGACTCCCAGCATAACTCCCCCCCCCCCCCCCATGACTCCCAGCATGACGCCCCTGACTCGCAGCATAACTCCCCCCGTCTCCCAGACTGACTGCCCCCGACTCGCAATCTAACTCCCCCCAACTCCACGGCATAACTCCCCACCCCCGTATCCCAACATGACTCCCCCCGACTCCCGGCATAACTCCCCCCCAACTCTCGGCATCCCCCCGACTCCCAGCACGACTCCCCCTGACTCCCACCATAACTCCCCCCCCAACTCCCCAGCATAACTCCCCTCCTCCCGACTCCCAGCATAACCCCCCCCCGACTCCCAGCATAAACTCCACCCCCCCGACTCTCCCCGGCATAACTCCACCCCCCCGACTCCCCGGCATAACTCTTCCCCTCCCGACTCCCAGCATGACTCCCCCCCCCGACTTCCCGGCATAACTCCAAAACCCCCCCCCCCCCCCCCATCTCCCAGACTGACTGCCCCCGACTCGCAATCTAACTCCCCCCCAACTCCCGGCGTAACCCCCCCAACTCTCGCATCCCCCCCCCCCCCCCCGACTCCCAGCACGACTCCCCCTGACTCCCACCATAACTCCCCCCCCCCCAACTCCCCAGCATAACTCCCCCCCTCCCGACTCCCCAACATGACTCCCCCCCGACTCTCGGCATAACCCCCCCCCCCCCCCCCCCCAACTCCCAGCATGACGCCCCCTGACTCGCAGCATAACTCCCCCCGTCTCCCAGACTGACTGCCCCCGACTCGCAATCTAACTCCCCCCCAACTCCACGGCATAACTCCCCACCCCCCCCCGAATCCCAGCATGACTCCCCCCAACTCCCGGCATAACTCCCCCCCCCCCCCCCCCCCCCCTGACTCCCAGCACGACTCCCCCTGACTCCCAGCATAACTCCCCCCCCCAACTCCCCAGCATAACTCCCCTCCTCCTGACTCCCAGCATAACTCCCCCCCCCCCCCCGACTCCCAGCATAACTCCACCACCCCCCCGACATAACTCTTTCCCCCCCCGACTCCCAGCACGACTCCACCTGACTCCCAGCATAACTCCCCCCCTCCCGACTTCCAGCATGACTCCCCCCCCGACTCCCGGCATAAACCCCCCCCCCCCCCCAACTCCCAGCATGACGCCCCCTGACTCGCAGCATAACTCTCCCCCGACTCCTGGCATAACTCCCCCCGTCTCCCAGACTGACTGCCCCCGACTCTCGCAATCTAACTCCCCCCCAACTCCCAGCACAACTCCCCCCGACTCCCAGCACGACTTCCCCCCCCCGACTCCTGCTGACACTTCATCTCTCCAAGTGAAGCTCGTACCTCGGTACAGACAGCGATCTGGAGGAAGAGTCTGCAGGAGCCTGGCATTGCACCCCGCCCTCCCATCCACTCATCGCAGCTGCAAGGCTTTGCAGGCTGATTTGCAAAAAAATAACAAAATGCACATTTTTTGCTGCAACATTTTTGTCATTTATTTGCATAAAAAGGTGGACTTGGCAGTTTGTGGAGTGTCGGGAGAACTGAATTTAGATCTATGAAGTCATGGGGAATCATCCAGAGGTGGGGGGGAGGGGGGGGTGTTTACGGACATCAGATTCAACCAGAAATGAAATGGGAAATCTAACAACCCAATCATACAGCAGCAGCTATGAGTTCCAGACATTAGTTTACAGAGAACCTTTGGTAGACCAGTGTCATGGCCAGGGCAGTATACAAACCAGGGCCTGCAAGAGAACCCAGAACCCCTCTGAAGGCCTCAGCCCACTCAACTAAGGTTTAGTAGACCAGTGTCATGACCAGGGCAGTATACTAACCAGGGCCTGCAGGAGAACCCAGAACCCCTCTGAAGGCCTCAGCCCACTCAACTAAGGTTTAGTAGACCAGTGTCATGACCAGGGCAGTATACTAACCAGGGCCTGCAGGAGAACCCAGAACCCCTCTGAAGGCCTCAGCCCACTCAACTAAGGTTTGGTAGGCCAGTGTCATGGCCAGGGCAGTATACAAACCAGGGCCTGCAAGAGAACCCAGAACCCCTCTGAAGGCCTCAGCCCACTCAACTAAGGTTTTACTAGACCAGTGTCATGACCAGGGCAGTATACTAACCAGGGCCTGCAAGAGAACCCAGAACCCCTCTGAAGGCCTCAGCCCACTCAATTAAGGTTTGGTAGGCCAGTGTCATGACCAGGGCAGTATACAAAGCAGGGCCTGCCAGAGAACCCAGAACCCCTCTGAAGGCCTCAGCCCACTCAATTAAGGTTTGGTAGGCCAGTGTCATGGCCAGGGCAGCATACAAACCAGGGCCTGCAAGAGAACCCAGAACCCCTCTGAAGGCCTCAGCCCACTCAAATAAGGTTTGGTTGGCCAGTGTCATGGCCAGGGCAGTATACAAACCAGGGCCTGCAAGAGAACCCAGAACCCATCTGAAGGCCTCAGACCACTCAACTAAGGTTTGGTCAACCAGTGTCATGGCCAGGGCAGCATACAAACCAGGGCCTGTGAGAGAACCCAGAACCCCTCTGAAGGCCTCAGCCCACTCAACTAAGGTTTGGTAGGCCAGTGTCATGGCCAGGGCAGTATACAAACCAGGGCCTGCCAGAGAACCCAGAACCCCTCTGAAGGCCTCAGCCCACTCAACTAAGGTTTAGTAGACCAGTGTCATGGCCAGGGCAGTATACAAATCAGGGCCTGCCAGAGAACCTGGATCTCTTCTGAAGGCTTCAGCCAAACCATTAAAAGGTTTGGTAGACCAGTGCAGTATACAAACCAGTGCATGTCAAAAAACCCAGAAACCCTCTGAAGGTCTCAGCCCACTCAGCTAAGGTTTGGTAGAGCAGTATCATGACCAGGGCAGTTTACAAATCAGGGCCAGCCAGAGAACCCGGATCTCTTCTGAAGGCCTCAGCATAACCATTGAAGGTTTTGGTAGACCAGTGTCATGACCAGGGTAGTATACAAAGCAGGGCCTGCCAGAGAACCTGGATCTCTTCTGAAGGTCTCAGCCCAACCATGAAGGGTTGATAGACCAAGGCAGTATACAAACCAGGGCATGTCAGAGAACCCAGAACCCCTCTGAAGGCCTCAGCCCACTCAGCTAAGGTTTGGTACACCAGTGGCATGACCAGGGCAGTTTACAAATCAGGGCCAGCCAGAGAACCCGGATCCCTTCTGAAGACCTCAGCCCACTCAATGAGGTTTTACTAGACCAGTGTCATGGCCAGGGCAGTATACAAAGCAGGGCTTTCCAGAGAACCCAGATCCTTTCTGAAGGTCTCTGCCCAACCACTGAGGGTTTAGTAGACCAGTGTCATGACCAGGGCAGTATACAAAGCAGGGCCTGCCAGAGAACCCAGATCCTTTCTGAAGGTCTCAGCCCAACCATTGAAGGTTTAGTAGACCAGTGTCATGACCAGGGCAGTATACAAAGCAGGGCCTGCCAGAGAACCCAGATCCTTTCTGAAGATCTCAGCCCAACCATGAAGGTTTTGGTAGACCAGGGCAGTATACAAAAAGCAGGGCCTGCCAGAGAACCTGGATCTCTTCTGAAGGCCTCAGCCCAATCATTGAAGGTTTAGGTAGACCAGTGTCATGACCAGGGCAGTTTACAAATCAGGGCCAGCCAGAGAACCCGGATCCCTTCTGAAGACCTCAGCCCACTCAATGAGGTTTTACTAGACCAGTGTCATGGCCAGGGCAGTATACAAAGCAGGGCTTTCCAGAGAACCCAGATCCTTTCTGAAGGTCTCTGCCCAACCACTGAGGGTTTAGTAGACCAGTGTCATGACCAGGGCAGTACACAAAGCAGGGCCTGCCAGAGAACCCAGATCCTTTCTGAAGGTCTCAGCCCAACCATTGAAGGTTTTGGTAGACCAGGGCAGTATACAAAGCAGGGCCTGCAAGAGAACCTGGATCTTTTCTGAAGGCCTCAGCCCATCATTGAAGGTTTAGGTAGACCAGTGTCATGACCAGGGCAGTTTACAAAGCAGGGCCTGCCAGAGAACCTGGATCTCTTCTGAAGGTCTCAGTCCAATCATTGAAGGTTTAGGTAGACCAGTGTCATGACCAGGGCAGTACACAAAGCAGGGCCTGCCAGAGAACCTGGATCTCTTCTGAAGGTCTCAGCCCAACCACTGAGGGTTTAGTAGACCAGTGTCATGACCAGGGCAGTACACAAAGCAGGGCCTGCCAGAGAACCCGGATCTCTTCTGAAGGTCTCAGTCCAATCATTGAAGGTTTAGGTAGACCAGTGTCATGACCAGGGCAGTTTACAAAGCAGGGCCTGCCAGAGAACCTGGATCTCTTCTGAAGGTCTCAGCCCAACCACTGAGGGTTTAGTAGACCAGTGTCATGACCAGGGCAGTTTACAAAGCTGGACCTGTCAGAGAAAACTGGATTCTAGAAAGGGCCTCCAATCACTTGTCAATGGGGCCCTTAGACCCGACCGCATACTGCACAAGAATAGACAATGCTTTGCTAACACAGGATACTGATGGATTGAAGGAGAGACAACAGACTTTCTAACAAAGTCCTCCTTGATAGATACATGGCATCTCGCTGTTTTGGGGGTGAAAAGCTTTTCCAACCTCAATAAAGGGTGACAGGGAACAGCGGGTGCACCAGAAAGGTCTTTGCGGTCTTGGAGACCCTAAAAGGAGCCTAGGCTGGGGATAGCACTGATGGAAGCTGCAGGCTGATCTTCAAGTTTTGTGGTTTGAACCACCTTAATAGAAGCCAGGCCAGGTTTGGGAGAAATGGCCGAGGTCCAGGTCTGGTCTCCCAAGATGGGGATGTGCCAAAGGAGAGAGTTGTGTATAGAGATCCGCCCAAAACACCAAACAGAGGAATCTCAAAAAACAAAATATAGAAACAATGTCAGACTGACCACAGCAAAGATGTCCATCCTCTGGAAGAAAGCATTCCGGGAGTGGGAGGGCTTATACCAGGCTGGCACTGTTACCGGTGTCCAAACCCCCACTAGGCAGCAGTATAACCCAACAGTCCCTGAACTGCGGTGTCCCTCAATGCACTACCCATTCCTCTGGTCTCACCGGCGTCAGCGTTCAGCTCCAGGTCCCAGGAGTCCTCCTCCGGCTCATTCTTCACAACGATGTTCAGGTGAGAGTCTGAGACACTGGAGGAGTATGAAGGCAGACCTATCAGAGGAGAGAAAGGAGCAGTCACTACGAGGACCTGTCATGTCACCCCATCCCACTCTCCAATCCACCCAATCTACTCCAAAGGATGGAGGTCACTACGAGGACCTGTCATGTCACCCCCCCCCACTCTCCCCCCCAATCTACGTCAAAGATGGAGGTCACTACAAGGACCTGTCATGTCACCCCATCCCCCCCAATCTACGTCAAAGATGGAGGTCACTACAAGGACCTGTCATGTCACCCCATCCCACTCTCCCATCCCCCCCAATCTACTCCATACAGGATGGAGGTCACTACGAGGACCTGTCATGTCACCCCATCCCACTCTCCCATCCCCCCAATCTACTCCACAGGATGGAGGTCACTACAAGGACCTGTCACGTCACCCCATCCCACTCTCCCATCCCCCCCAATCTACTCAAAGGATGGAGGTCACTACGAGGACCTGTCATGTCACCCCATCCCACTCTCCATCCCCCCCAATCTACTCCAAAGGATGGAGGTCACTACGAGGACCTGTCATGTCACCCCATCCCACTCCCCCACCCAATCTACGTCAAAGATGGAGGTCACTACGAGGACCTGTCATGTCACCCCATCCCCCCCAATCTACGTCAAAGATGGAGGTCACTACAAGGACCTGTCATGTCACACTCTCCCATCCCCCCCAATCTACTCCAAAGGATGGAGGTCACTACGAGGACCTGTCATGTCACCCCCATCCCCCCCATCCCATCCCCCCCAATCTACGTCAAAGATGGAGGTCACTACAAGGACCTGTCATGTCCCACTCCCATCCCCCCCAATCTACTCAAGGATGGAGGTCACTACGAGGACCTGTCATGTCACCCCATCCCACTCTCCCATCCCCCCCAATCTACTCCAAAGGATGGAGGTCACTACGAGGACCTGTCATGTCACCCCCATCCCACTCTCCCATCCCCCCCAATCTACTCCAAGGATGGAGGTCACTACGAGGACCTGTCATGTCACCCCATCCCACTCTCCCATCCCCCCCAATCTACTCCAAAGGATGGAGGTCACTACGAGGACCTGTCATGTCACCCCATCCCACTCTCCCATCCCCCCCAATCTACTCCAAAGGATGGAGGTCACTACGAGGACCTGTCATGTCACCCCATCCCCCCCCCCAATCTACGTCAAAGATGGAGGTCACTACGAGGACCTGTCATGTCACCCCATCCCACTCTCCCATCCCCCCCAATCTACTCACAAGATGGAGGTCACTACGAGGACCTGTCATGTCACCCCATCCCACTCTCCCATCCCCCCCAATCTACTCCACAGGATGGAGGTCACTACGAGGACCTGTCATGTCACCCCATCCCACTCTCCCATCCCCCCCAATCTACTCCAAGGATGGAGGTCACTACGAGGACCTGTCATGTCACCCCATCCCACTCTCCCATCCCCCCAATCTACTCCAAGGATGGAGGTCACTACGAGGACCTGTCACGTCACCCCATCCCACTCTCCCATCCCCCCAATCTACTCCACAGGATGGAGGTCACTACGAGGACCTGTCACGTCACCCCATCCCACTCTCCCATCCCCCCCAATCTACTCCAAAGGATGGGGGTCACTACGAGGACCTGTCACATCACCCCATCCCACTCTCCAATCCCCCAATCTACTCCACAGGATGGAGGTCACTTAGAGGACTTGTCATGTCACCCCATCCCACTCTCCCATCCCCCCCATCTACTCCACAAGATGGAGGTCACTACGAGGACCTGTCATGTCACCCCATCCAACTCTCCCATCCCCCCAATATAGTCCACAGGATGGAGGTCACCTGGACCTGTCATGTCACCCCATCCAACTCTCCCATCCCCCCAATATAGTCCACAGGATGGAGGTCACCTGGACCTGTCTCTCTCACCGCTCTTTGTCTTCTCCGATTTCTCCCGCTGACACTTCCTCTGAGCACTCCGCTCCCCCCCGATATAGTCCACAGGAGCTTCACCTCAGGAGCACCGGTATAACGGCCTAAGAGGAAAGAACTCTGATCACCACATAATACATCACCCCCAACTCACAAAGATCCCCCCTCCTGTCTACTCACCCCAAACTGGCCTAGATTCACCCCGCTGACACAATGATCCCCTCCACATCACCCCCAACTGGCCAAGATACATCCCCAACCCCCTCCTCCTGGAAGCACCCCACTGCATTCTCAGGAGCACCGGTATAACGGCCTAGATACACCCCCACACAACCAATGACCCCCCTCCTGTATACATCACCCCCAAACTAGCCTAGATACACCCCCACACAACAACCAAGATCCCCCCTCCTGTATACATCACCCCAAACTGGCCTAGATACACCCCCACACAACCAATGATCCCCCCTCCTGTATACATCACCCCCAACTGGCCTAGATACACCCCAACCAACCAAGGACCCCTCTCCTGTATACATCACCCCCAACTGGCCTAGATACACCCCAACCAACCAAGTACCCCCCTTCTGTATACATCACCCGCAACTGGCCTAGATACACCCACAACCAACCAAGTACCCCCCTTCTGTATACATCACCCCCAAGTAGCCTAGATACACCCCCAACCAACCAAGGAATCCCCTCCTGTATACATCACCCCCAACTGGCCTAGATACACCCCCAACCAAGGACCCCCCTCCTGTATACATCACCCCCAACTGGTCTAGATACACCCCCAACCAACCAAGGAACCCCCCTCCTGTATACATCAGACCAACTGGCCTAGATACACCCCCAACCAACCAAGGAACCCCCTCCTGTATACATCACCCCCAACTGGCCTAGATACACCCCAACCAAGGACCCCCCTCCTGTATACATCACCAACTGGTATAGATACACCCCCAACCAACCAAGGAACCCCCTCCTGTATACATCAGACCAACTGGCCTAGATACACCCCAACATACCAAGGAACCCCCCTCCTGTATACATCAGACCAACTGGCCTAGAAACACCCCCAACCAACCAAGGACCCCCCTCCTGTATACATCAGACCAACTGGCCTAGATACACCCCCAACTAATGTCCCCCTCCTATGTACATCACCCCCCTCCTGCATAAATCACTAACAAGCCTAGATACACTCCCTTCATACAGAATTGTGCAAAAGTATTAGGCAGATGTGGAGAAATGATGTAAAAGAATACTTTCAGAAATCTATATTTAAAAGTTTATTTTTTATCAATTTTCAAAATGTAACGCGAGAGAAGAGAAATCCGAATCTGATTTAGTATTGGGGTGTGACCGCCGTGTGACATCCCGTGTGACATCCCGTGTCACCCTGTGTGACATCCCGTGTGACATCCCGTGTGACATCCCGTGTGACATCCCGTGTGACATCCCGTGTGACATCCATTCTTACACCCCCACAGTCAGGGATATGGAAGGATTGGAGTCAGGCGTATGATGAACCAATGATACCAAGCAGTGGGGTAAGTGTTGGTGGGGAGTGTAGACGCAGTGGTGGGGTAATGTTGAGGAGTGTAGACGCAGTGGTGGGGTAACATGTTGAGGAGTGTAGACGCAGTGGGGGGGGTGAAGTGTTGAGGAGTGTAGACGCAGTGGTGGGGTAATGTTGAGGAGTGTAGACGCAGTGGTGGGGTAATGTTGAGGAGTGTAGACGCAGTGGTGGGGGGTAATGTTGAGGAGTGTAGACGCAGTGGTGGGGTAATGTTGAGGAGTGTAGACGCAGTGGTGGGGTAATGTTGAGGAGTGTAGACGCACGTGGTGGGGTAATGTTGAGGAGTGTAGACGCAGTGGTGGGTAATGTTGAGGAGTGTAGACGCAGTGGTGGGGTAATGTTGAGGAGTGTAGACGCGCAGTGGGGGTAATGTTGAGGAGTGTAGACGCAGTGGTGGGGTAATGTTGAGGAGTGTAGACGCAGTGGTGGGGTAATGTTGAGGAGTGTAGACGCAGTGGTGGGGGTAATGTTGAGGAGTGTAGACGCAGTGGTGGGGTAATGTTGAGGAGTGTAGACGCAGTGGTGGGGGTAATGTTGAGGAGTGTAGACGCAGTGGTGGGGTAATGTTGAGGAGTGTAGACGCAGTGGTGGGGTAATGTTGAGGAGTGTAGACGCAGTGGTGGGGTATGTTGAGGAGTGTAGAGCAGTGGTGGGGAATGTTGAGGAGTGTAGACGCAGGTGGGGTAATGTTGAGGAGTGTAGACGCAGTGGTGGGGTAATGTTGAGGAGTGTAGACGCAGTGGTGGGGTAATGTTGAGGAGTGTAGACGCAGTGGTGGGGTAATGTTGAGGAGTGTAGACGCAGGGTGGGTAATGGAGGAGTGTAGACGCAGTGGTGGGGTAATGTTGAGGAGTGTAGACGCAGTGGTGGGGTAATGTTGAGGAGTGTAGACGCGCAGTGGTGGGGGGGGTGAGGAGTGTAGACGCAGTGGAGGAGTGTGAGGAGTGTAGACGCAGTGGTGGGGTAATGTTGAGGAGTGTAGACGCAGTGGTGGGGTAATGTTGAGGAGTGTAGACGCAGTGGTGGGTGGTGGGGGTAATGTTGGAGTGTAGACGCAGTGGTGGGGGGTAATGTTGAGGAGTGTAGACGCAGTGGTGGGGTAATGTTGAGGAGTGTAGACGCAGTGGTGGGGGTAATGTTGAGGAGTGTAGACGCAGTGGTGGGGTAATGTTGAGGAGTGTAGACGCAGTGGTGGGGTAATGTTTGAGGAGTGTAGACGCAGTGGTGGGGTAATGTTGAGGAGTGTAGACGCAGTGGTGGGGTAATGTTGAGGAGTGTAGACGCAGTGGTGGGGTAGACGCAGTGTTGAGGATGTTGAGGAGTAGACGCAGTGGTGGGGGTAATGTTGAGGAGTGTAGACGCAGTGGGGGGGTAATGTTGAGGAGTGTAGACGCAGTGGTGGGGGTAATGTTGAGAGTGTAGACGCAGTGGGGGTAATGTTGAGGAGTGTAGACGCAGTGGTGGGGTAATGTTGAGGAGTGTAGTAGACGCAGTGGTGGGGTAATGTTGAGGAGTGTAGACGCAGTGGTGGGGTAATGTTGAGGAGTGTAGACGCAGTGGTGGGGTAATGTTGAGGAGTGTAGACGCAGTGGTGGGGTAAATGTTGAGGAGTGTAGACGCAGTGGTGGGGGTAATGTTGAGGAGTGTAGACGCAGTGGTGGGGTAATGTTGAGGAGTGTAGACGCAGTGGGGGTAATGTTGAGGAGTGTAGACGCAGTGGTGGGGTAATGTTGAGGAGTGTAGACGCAGTGGTGGGGTAATGTTGAGGAGTGTAGACGCAGTGGTGGGGTAATGTTGAGGAGTGTAGACGCAGTGGTGGGGGTAATGTTGAGGAGTGTAGACGCAGTGGTGGGGTAATGTTGAGGAGTGTAGACGCAGTGGGGGGTAATGTTGAGGAGTGTAGACGCAGTGGTGGGGTAATGTTGAGGAGTGTAGACGCAGTGGTGGGGTATGTTGAGGAGTGTAGACGCAGTGGTGGGTAATGTTGAGGAGTGTAGACGCAGTGGTGGGGGTTGTGTGAGAGTGTAGACGCAGAGTGAAGTTGAGGCAGTGACGCAGTGGTGGGGAATGTGAGGAGTGTAGACGCAGTGGTGGTGAGGGAAGTGTTGGGGAGTGTAGAGTGTAGCAGTGGTGGGGTAATGTTTGAGGAGTGTAGACGCAGTGGTGGGGTAATGTTGAGGAGTGTAGACGCAGTGGTGGGGTAATGTTGAGGAGTGTAGACGCAGTGGTGGGGTAATGTTGAGGAGTGTAGACGCAGTGGTGGGGTAATGTTGAGGAGTGTAGACGCAGTGGTGGGGTAATGTTGAGGAGTGTAGACGCAGTGGTGGGGTAATGTTGAGGAGTGTAGACGCAGTGGTGGGGTAATGTTGAGGAGTGTAGACGCAGTGGGGGGGGTAATGTTGAGGAGTGTAGACGCAGTGGTGGGGTAATGTTGAGGAGTGTAGACGCAGTGGTGGGGTAATGTTGAGGAGTGTAGTGGTGGGGTAATGTTGAGGAGTGTAGACGCAGTGGGGTATGTTGAGGAGTGTAGACGCAGTGGTGGGGTAATGTTGAGGAGAGTGTAGACGCAGTGGTGGGGTATGTTGAGAGAGTGTAGACGCAGTGGTGGGGTAATGTTGAGGAGTGTAGACGCAGTGGTGGGGGGTAATGTTGAGGAGTGTAGACGCAGTGGTGGGGTAATGTTGAGGAGGAGTGTAGACGCAGTGGGTGGGAGTGTAGACGCAGTGGTGTGGGGTAAGTTGAGGAGTGTAGACGCAGTGGGGTAATGTTGAGGAGTGTAGACGCAGTGGTGGGGTAATGTTGAGGAGTGTAGACGCAGTGGGGGGGTAATGTTGAGGAGTGTAGACGCACGCAGTGGTGGGGTAATGTTGAGGAGTGTAGACGCAGTGGTGGGGGGTAATGTTGAGGAGTGTAGACGCAGTGGTGGGGTAATGTTGAGGAGTGTAGACGCAGTGGTGGGGGTAATGTTGAGGAGTGTAGACGCAGTGGGTGGGGTAATGTTGAGGAGTGTAGACGCAGTGGTGGGGTAATGTTGAGGAGTGTAGACGCAGTGGTGGGGTAATGTTGAGAGTGTAGACGCAGTGGTGGGGTAATGTTGAGGAGTGTAGACGCAGTGGTGGGGTAAATGTTGAGGAGTGTAGACGCAGTGGTGGGGGTAATGTTGAGGAGTGTAGACGCAGTGGTGGGGTAATGTTGAGGAGTGTAGACGCAGTGGGGGGTAATGTTGAGGAGTGTAGACGCAGTGGTGGGGTAATGTTGAGGAGTGTAGACGCAGTGGTGGGGTAATGTTGAGGAGTGTAGACGCAGTGGGTGGGGTAATGTTGAGGAGTGTAGACGCAGTGGTGGGGTAATGTTGAGGAGTGTAGACGCAGTGGTGGGGGTAATGTTGAGGAGTGTAGACGCAGTGGTGGGGGTAATGTTGAGGAGTGTAGACGCAGTGGTGGGGTAATGTTGAGGAGTGTAGACGCAGTGGGGGGTAATGTTGAGGAGTGTAGACGCAGTGGTGGGTAATGTTGAGGAGTGTAGACGCAGTGGTGGGGGTAATGTTGAGGAGGAGACGCAGTGGTAGACGTTGAGGAGTGTAGACGCAGTGGTGGGGGTAATGTTGAGGAGTGTAGACGCAGTGGTGGGGTAATGTTGAGGAGTGTAGACGCAGTGGGGGGTAATGTTGAGGAGTGTAGACGCAGTGGTGGGGGGGTAATGTTGAGGAGTGTAGACGCAGTGGTGGG